TGTGTCTGCACTGCTCACTTGCCACCGTGAGAGAAACCATACTCCCAGGCAGGTGTTTGGACCAACTCTGGCAGCTCTTCAGCTGGCTCCCCACAAGGAGCAACCACAGCGGGATGGGGCACAGGAGCCCATCCCGGCGTTGGGAACGTCAGGAACGCAGATGCCCCCTTGCATTGCTCCTGCAGAGGCAAGGAAGGCAGCAGGCACCAACTGCAACATGCTGGGCCCTGCAAGGATGAGCCCGTCTGTGCTTGCGCATGCGCCTCTTGTGGGGTTGGAATGTCTTGTTCTCCCCGCCGGCCTCCTATTGGGAGCGGGGAGGGAGTTCACGTGCGCATGACAAGTTTTCCTGCCCCCCTTTCTGCCTTACTCCTTGCTCTACTCTTTTCTTCTACCACCTGTGAATCTTCATGACATGTAAAACATTATGCTTTAGCTAGTAATAACTCAGGGAAGTAACGTGCATGCTTCACAGAGTATTTTACTTTTTATTATTATGATTATTATTATCGCCACTCTGTAGCATTTCTACTTTTTTTCTAATACTTTTTGACAACCTCCTATGCCAAAGTACCCTCTTGTGGTGATAATAATTTCTGACGGCTGCGTGCACCAGAGTGACCAATCTGAGCTGAGCAGGATACAAAATGCCCTTCATTTTGGTTAACAGTGACACTAAGTCTACTGTCCCTAAAAAACAATAAAGTTGGCTAGTGGGAAAAAGAAATGTCATTCCTTCTCCCATCACCTATATTCTTTCTCCTCCCTTCCCCTCCTCCCCTAACTTACAGGCAAATGGTGCAGAGCATTGAAGATTTCCTACAAGGGTTTCAGAAAGAGTGAAAAACAAATGTTCCATTTGCACTACAGGTGCAAAGTCCTCACACAAGCACTCCCATGCCACGCACCGTGCCAGTCCTGCAGAGCTGCATGAGCAACACCCACCGCACAAAAGAACCTGGAGAACTTCTGTCCTTGCCTCATAGTTACTCAATGCCTACCTAGAAAAGAGCGTAGCTGACTGGCAAGGCTTCCTAAAGCGACACGGATCTTGGGTTCAGTCTTCAGGCACCGCTCTGCCCGTTTCTCTCACTCCCACAAGGCTCTTCTAACTGCATGTTTCTGTGGTGAAACTATGAACACTGAGAATTAAAAACACTTTGCATCTGTGCCTTTTAAATGCGAGCATGAGAATAAAAGCTGCTTTTGCCTCTTCAGGTGAATAGCAGTCCTGAAAAAAATCTCATTTGAATAATCTTTGGGAAGAAAAATCCCTAGAAAACACATCTTCAAGTACTTCTGGAGCTGCAAGAGAGCTCAAAACTGCTACATTTTAAAACAATCGCAAGATAAAAGTACTGGCAGGCAAGGAACTCATGCAGAGCTGTTCAATAAATTATCCGCGGGCTGAATTATTGGCATATTTAGGCTTATAACACAGCAAGCCCTTTCCTTTTCAATGTCTCAGACACGGAGTGAGACAGCCTACACAATGCACTGAAGCCACGGCAAAGCGGAGTTGATTTACATATCTCACAAACAGCTTTCATGCCCCGTGCAAACCCGCAACACAGAATGACCTGCAGGACACGGCTTATTACTGGCAAGATCAAACTGAGAGCAGAAACCCTTTCATCAGCTGGGTTTCATCTTTCTTCTTTTTTAATGAAACTTACTGTTCATCAATCAAAAAAAAAAAGGGGGGGGGAGAAAAGGGGAGGAAAAAAAAAAAGAAAAAACCCACAACTCTGAAAAGGTTTCTGGCGGGCCAGCAAAATGACTATTTGCAGCCCGCAGCAGGCTCTCCGCTGGCTCCGGCCCTTGGGAAAGCGCTGCGGGCTCTGCAGCATGTTCCTTACCTGCCTCATGTTTAGACTCCCATTATCCATCCAGGCGGGAAGGGGCTGCGCTCACGCTCACGCCGCGGGACTAGCGGCGGGATGAAAATCCATCAAGTTTCCCAGGGCAAGCAAGTTTTGTTTTTTTTTCCCCCTTCCTTGTCTTGTTTCTCCCCTTTTATCCTTCGCTGGTGGTGGAGGGTGGGGGCTCTTCCTAAGACAATGTCAAGTTTCTCAACCTTCCTTCCCAGCCTATTAAAAGTCAGGAGCAGGGAGGCAACTGTCCGCGAAGCTCCTATTTCAAACCGGAGCGCAGGGATGCTCCAGTTGGCTGCACTGGGCCCCGGAGGAGCCTCGCCAATCAGCGGCGAGGGGAGGGAGGCAGAGCGCACGGAGGCTGTGCCTACACCGGGATCGGAGGCTGTGCCTACACCGGGATCGGGAAAGCCTCACAGACCGAAAGCAGCTGGAAACAGCGTCTAGCGCTGCAGAGAGGGAAGCCAATTTGCGGCGTAAGGGATTATGCCTGGTCTCATCCAGCCACTCAGCGTCTGCTTAACGCTTAAGAGGCTCGAGGCCTTAAGCGAGCAAGCGTGAGTGTGCGGGGGAGCTGCTGAAATACCAGTGACGCCAAAATGCTTCACAGCTGCCCCGTAAAGTGGCAATATCCCCTTCTAGTAGGAGCCACATGCACTCCAGAAGCGCCAATTTCCTCATGTCACATTAGAAGGTAAATTACATAATGACCTAAGTTAGTAAAACAAGTACACTGTTTACATTAAGAGCAAGTGCCTCTCTGGCCAAAGGAATGGAGGACCATGAAAATACACACATGAATTTACAGGCTTCCAAAATGTTTGCTGCAAAATGTTATTTGCCCCAGTGGCAAGTATTTAATCATCCTTAGCATTAGGGTGTTATCTGGTTTGTCTTCTTTAGGAAGGGTGATTTCCTCATTCCTAAGATTAGCTCCATGTGCCAGATAACACTGGACCTCATTTGCATCTTCAAAGGAAAAATAATAGACTTGTTTTTACACTTTAACAATGAGATCAGTTCCTACGTGCTGCTCCTCAGTGGCTTTCATTAAAATAAAACAAAAGACAAATCCAAAATCGAAAATGCCACTGCTGCTTCAGTTACACCTTTCCTGAGTCAAAAAAGGTGAGAAATACAGAACTGCAAACTCATCCCACCTACTCTTCTTCCAAACTCTTTGCCTCTCGAAAGCACTTTCAGTAGTTTCTCTGTCTCCACTCTAAATGGAAATCTGTCTTTTGATCTCAGAGGACAATTAGGGAAATCTGACATCTGGAAAACATCCAGAGTTTTCCAAAGTGAAGAGGCAACATCACGAATTTGCCTCTGCAAGAGTTTTACCTACCATGGCAAAAAGTAGCCACTATACAGAAAAACTCGTATCAGTGCAACAAATCTTACTGAATTAAGACAGAGAAAGAAGATGTGACAGTGATGTGCTGCCAGGATTTTATTTAAAGGCTTCCTAAAATGTATTCTTTTTAGCTTGTGGCAAGCTACATGGACTAAAGCAAAGACATGTTGGCGTATGTTGGACAAAAGCAAAGAGAAAGACTGAAAAATCTATTAATTTGCTTTCCCATTTAGAAACAATAAAGATTTTTCTCATAAATACAATCAAGAAAGGAGTTTTTTTCTTTCTATTTGCATAATATTGGCACTGTTCAGCTCAGAAGTAAGACAAAGATGAAGCAGAAAGTTGATGTAAAACAATATTTCACTCCCTTTAGCCAGGGCTGGACATGTTCTTGCTTGGCCCACATCTACAAGCTGAAAGATCCATTTACAGGCTTTAACTTATGACACAAACCAACTATCTCCAGGGATCAACATAGCACTTTTTATAATGTAAGACCAACCATTCCATTTACACTAGCCAAAGTGTAGATAACTTTGTGATCCTCCGGTGACAGGCTAGTGTAGCCCCTGCACACTTGCACAACAGCTTGAAGCAGCTGCAGCACATATATCTGGTGCATTAAGAGCACTTAACAGGAATGCTGGCCCTCTGTTCCCCAAACATAGCTCAGTGGTCACATGTCATCTGAAATGAATATATGGTATGTGAAGGCCTTTTACTGTAGTTCTGACTAGAGGAATCCTCTCCAGGATGCATTCAAAAGAAGGGGGCAAATGCACTTTTCTGAAGCAATTTGGGCCTTAGGGATAAACTTCCTTGGAGAAAGTGATTTAGCAAAAAGTGAAAACCTTTTTTTTTTTTTTAATTAATTAGTAAGGGAATTTCCCCAAAACATTACATTTGGTTTTAGGAGGTTGAAGCAGGAGATTCTGAGGGAAGCCCAGATTAAAGATGAAAAAGATGAAGAACTTTTCTAAAAATGAGTACCTTTTAATATACTACCTGCAATGCCTTAAAGTATGTAATGAGAATTCAGCAAAATATGGCATCAAAAGCTGAGTTCTATATATATATAATAAAAGGTATTCTTAGTGTTACAAAAAAAAAGAGAGAGAGAAAGAAAACTTAACAATAATACTCATTCAGGAGGCTATTTTTTTACTAAGAAAATCAGGTGCCATACACTGCCCCTTTTTTAACTCTGCCATTCCCTTTCCACCTTTGAGGAATATATTTTGTGATCAATCTGCACAACAGCAGAACTGTTACATGAGGTGCACTCAGAAAACTAGGTTTTGGACTTAATGCCTTCAGAGTGGGACACAAGGGAATAAAAGGTTCCATATTTGAACTGGCCTTACTGTCAGTCTCCACACAGTTGGACAGCAAAACATGAGGAAGAGGTATTGTTCCTTGGGGTGCAAGGCAAGACTGATGCGGTTTCCTAGACCTTCTCTTTTCTTGTCTCGTTTCCTTAGTCTAAGTGAACATGTGTGAATGAGAAAGTTGTGCCACAGATAGCTAGCATCTCCTGCATAAAACAATCTCAGAGGTCTCATGTCTCAAACACCACATTGCCCCTTCCATTAAAGTAGAGAACCACTGTCCTGGCAAGAACATCCTCATGGTCTTTGCTATCTTACTTGTGACCCTGCAAAAGTGGTCAGATGAAGCTACCCAGAGCTCAGGACGCTGGGCATTAATGCACAGTGACTCCTCCTTGCTATCACTGCTGAAGATAAGAAGACAATTTCAGCATATATCTTGAGCTGCTTTAGGGGCCATGAAGCTTTAGGAGTTCTTACAGATGTGCAGCAACATCCACGAGCATATAATGCCAAATACAGTTTTTTACATGATGTACAAACACATCAGTCTGGAAAATTAAAGTTGATTTCAGTGGGACAAGGCTTAGCTCAGTGATAATCACTGCAGTAGCAAAGTTTGAAGATTTTCATTTGTGACAAGGCAGCAACAACACCCTGATATCAGAAAGGCAACACTTCCAAAATCCCAAATCTTTCTTTATTCCACTTTGTTAACCTCTTCTTAGTTAGCTTCATTTTTTCTAATGAATTACTCCATATTCAAATATAGCTATAGTTTCACTTGGTGGGCCAGATACAAAGCAGTCTAAGTCACTGGAGTTTTTTTTTTTTTTTCATATAAGAGAATTTTTTTGTAGCCCAGACCAGCTAGATTTCTCCCAGTAGCAGAGGGGTTGCAAAATGGGAAATGGAGAAAAATACATTCTCCCATTAGCTGAATGACAGCTGCCACAGAAATCTTTTTTGGCCCACAGAATTGAATATACACAAGAACCACTCTGTCTCCACGCTGAGCTGTGCCAAAGACAGGCCTGATTCCAGGATCTGATTATACGCAAGAGAGCCACAGCAGAGAAATATATAACCCAGCAGACAGTTTAGAAAGAAACAAAATGTGCTTCAAAATCAACAGTTAAAATATCTTCAGTTATGAAGTCTATCAGAAATAGATTGCCTGTGATCTGCAACATACACAAAAGATAAAAATAAAGACATACTATTTTTTAAGACAAGTAATGACCTAACTTTTGCACGTCAGCAGAAAAAAGGTAATATTCATATCCAAACTACTGGTGTTGAAATTCACTTCTAATGGCTTTTATAATCCCTACCTTGGCAATTTCAAATTGGCACCTGTGGGAAGAGTAGGAGGATGTCCAGAAGACAAAGTACTATTTAATAACCCCAGACAGCACTAGAATATATAATTCTAGACAACCTTAGAATATAAACATATCAGCCAGAAGAACTGTCCAAAAAAAAATTTCATTAGAAAGCTGTAAAATGAAGTAAAATTTGTGAGGTGACTGTATTAAAAAAAATGCCAAAACTCTTACACTATCCCAATACTGAAACTGTTCTCAACATGTCAGCATCACACAATATTGTTAAAATGTACAGTTCAGATTAACAAATATAAGGTTGTGGAGAGCAGATTCCCACAAACAAATACCTAACTGTTTTTATCACCATTGCTGCACTGAATGAAATGAAGGTAAGCCCATTACCCTGGCTGAGTGTCTGACTCACAGGTATTTAAACGCACAAAAGCTTACAAATAAGACCGGTATTGTCAGACAACCTTAAATTTACAAATACACACTCAAACCCACAGTGAACAAAGAAGTCCTTAAGGGAGATCTTTGGGACATTGATTACCTTTTGGGCAACGGGAGTCAGCCTTCTGGCTCACTAATGCAGGTGGAGATGACAGAGGTCAGCACATGCTGCAGTCCTCTTGGTTCAAAGGTCCTTGGGTGACCATTCCTCCTCCATCAGTAGTTACACCATTCCCCAGGCTTCCCTGATCTCATCTGGGTTGTAGCAGCCACAGGCAACAGATAAGGGAAGGTGTCTTCAGGACAGCTTCTGCCTCCATCGCTTCGGCAATCAGAACAAGCCACAGCTCAGATGGATGAAGAGCCGTAAGAACTGATCAATCTATACTTGCCTTAATGACAACTCTGACTAGGGCTTTTGATTAAGTTATTTTAATCAGAAGAAGCTATTTGCTGGATTTCATTTCACTGCATCTGTGCTAGGAGGCAGATACTTGATCTGCTAGACTGCACAAGTCGGTGCACATTCATGTGTATTAAATTAGCTACAGGAAAACTCCGATATTATGTTCCAAATTT